AAGTTTTTAATATCTCTTAATTGCATAAGTATATATTTTACAATTATAGGCACCAATTATAAAATAAGAATTTTAAGAACTATTATAAATTTAAATTCAGTACGAAAAGTAATATTAAGAATATAATACATTTTTAAAAAAGCATTAAAAATTTAATTAATTTNAAGTTTTTAATATCTCTTAATTGCATAAGTATATATTTTACAATTATAGGCACCAATTATAAAATAAGAATTTTAAGAACTATTATAAATTTAAATTCAGTACGAAAAGTAATATTAAGAATATAATACATTTTTAAAAAAGCATTAAAAATTTAATTAATTTAATCACTACTTTGGATTTTAATGAAACAAAGAATGTCCGAAAAATCATTGAGAAAAATATATTTATATTTCACTATTACAATAAATTGTAAACCAAAATGGTAATTTATGTATGAATAAAAAAATGTTTGAAAGCATTTCATATTCAGCTCTTTTCTTTTACAATTTCTTCTTTCACAACTTTTATTTCTCGACCGAGAAGATCATATTTGGAATGATTTGGTTCCGGATCTTGGTCTGTATCTGAACTGCAATCACTACCACTAGAATCTTCGTAAGAACCAAGTCCCGGTAAGATACCAATGCATTTCATACCACCTATATCACTTACTACAGTTTTATTTTGTAAAGAGACATCATGAAGTATGCTACTATCACATTCTAAAATCTCACTTGTTTTCTGTTCGCTTTCTTGGCAGTCTTTATTTATAGATGAATCTTTACTTTCATCGGATAACTTTCTTTTAACACCTCGCGTAGTTTCTCCTACAGAAACATAATTTAAAAAATAGTCTGGTATTAAAATTGTTGAATTTTAATTTGTCCTTTCTAAACAATTGCAATTTTGAAATTTGAAATGTCATTTAATGTAATGTTATTAATATAACATAGATATTACTTCATTTACCTTGCTTTTGCTTTTCTGAGCGTTTGACTACAACACCAGCTAATAGCTTTAATTGTGATGTCCGGCTGTTAACAATAATACGTATTTTCTTAATATTGCAGAATGCAAAGAAAAAAAAGTTATACATTACCTTCCAGACGAAACGTTTTTATTTGCAATTTGAGGATTTTTTAATTCTTGTTTTAATTTTTCATTTAACGATTTTTCTTGCAAAGAAGCAACAGCTGCTTTAAAATCACGCATTTCTTTTTCTTCCTCTAGATTTTTCTTACGTTCTTCCTCTAATTTAGTTCTATCTACTAAATCTAAAAATTCCACTTCATCATCGTCCAAGCCTTTGATCATATTCTCTAATATAAAAAGATATTTTTTTTAAACTTACATACAACTAATATTTGACTTTCAACTACTTGTATTAACCTACTTAGCTTATGTGCTTCTTCGTATTCCGCATCTCGTTTGCTTTTTTGTTCTTGCAATCGCTCGTATAATGATCTTGGATCATATGGTTCCTCTGGAGCCTCTACAAGTATCAGATAATCAGCTTGAGATATAAGTATAGAAAAATATAACCCTGTTAAGTAAATAATTATAATAACCTAATGGTTGATCTGCAGTTCTTACGCGTTCCCATTCTTGCTGTCTTATTCTTCGTTGTTCAGCAATTTCAGCTTCTGATATAAATCCTGAACTCATTTTGAACTACATAAAAGACAAATAGTATTTTAAACATTAATATTTTATTTTTATTATCCTTACATACTGTATAGGATAGGAATATGTCAATAATTGATATAACTTCTTCTGATTATTCACATTAATGTCAAAAGAAAGAAATTGATTAATATCAAATAATTTATAAGATTTCTTAAAACTGAACTTTAATTCAAAATAATGGGAAAGTAAAAAAAAGGAAGGTTAGCATTTAAGTTTTTTTTCATAATAATCAACGATACCTATGTTCTGTATATGTGCTATATAAAATTGATGGTTACATTGACACAAATATACTACACTACACAATATTTGAGCAAAAACTTACCGACACTACCACTATCTATACGAAGAAAAACTATGACAGATAATGTTCACTGTTCACAATTTCATCAAGCTATGCTCAAGTTCACAATATACCTACATGTACTTTAAAATTTATATCTATTACATCAAAATTATAAATATCGAAATATTAATTATGTTTATAACATTTATATTTTCCTAACAATATTTAACACTTGGTATTTAATGGATTAGAACTTATAAATAACAATTTCTTTAAAGTTGCAACCTTAATTAAATTCTTTTCAATAGACAGATTTTGTGCTTGCAAATTATTTATAAAAGGTGAATATTTCATATCTTCCAAGTGGTCGCCATATTAATCTCTATTTGTAGATACAAATTTAAATAAATATATGTATACGAGTACTACAATGGTAATCCTTAATAAAACACTTGCTCTGCACAATTGTACATATTTAGAATCATTTAAAATTGAATAATTACGTGCAATGTTGTATAAATCAACATCACACAAAGACGATGTTCAATATCCTACAAATTGTTATTAGTATATGTGTACTGTAGGAACCGAACTACGATCTACGGCCT